AACCCCGGTCTCCCGCGTGACAGGCGGGGATACTAACCACTATACTATCGAGGATTGTTGAACACAACTGGCGAAAACCTTTATTTCTACTCAACGCTGTGCTCTCTGTTTGACCAGCACATTCTGTTCATTTTGATGCGTAGCACAGCGAGAATCTATAAATAGACTGACTGCGAAGCATCCGCTCGTGTCGAATTGTTGCCATCTGTTGCGGACTATTTTTAGCAATATTGGCAAATTTTTTATGGTTTTCGCTGCGCTGCACGTTTTGCGATTATTTATGACATAACGCATAACGCAGGGAGTAATGGATGTTCATTAAACACAATGAATGTCATGCATACAGCTCCCCCTAGATACGCATACTACACATGTATGTGCAGTCAACCCTCTTCGAACTGCCAGCTCTTGAGCAAAAGGCCATTAGTCACCCTATTTTTCAGTTTTGCCAAAGAATAAAAATTAAAATTGTTTGCCTTTGAACACGAATTTGCACACATGTAATGAATATTTATCATTGCAAGTCCAAATTTTTTGGAGTACAGAAGGAGCTGAGTGATGGGCGGAATCAAATATGTATACATTTTATATGGGTGTACCTGTCTTTATATGCATATCAAATGGATTTTGTAATGCACATACTTTCAATAAATTGAATACTGATGATTTTTATTTTTCAAATAAAATAATTTATTAAATTATTGATATAAACTTTTTTAAGGTCAATATCGTTTTGAGCCTCAGCTAAGAAGAGAAATAGATGCAAATAAAATTTAATATATTTATTAATCTATTGATTACCATGAATATTATCGCAAATCTAAAAATATATAAAATGAAAACAAAATTAAAAGAATTTTTATTAAACCAAAGTTATTTAGGTATTAATTGATCCTCACCAATAATAAATAAATTTTAATGTTTTTTTACCAAAATACGAATTCTTCACTTTAATAGACATTTTATGGTATATACACTTTAAATATTTTTATTTATTCTTTTTTTTTTTTTGCAGTTTATTTATGACTACAGCGTATTTTATTCAGAAACTGAATAAATTAGTCGGATAGTATTCCAGTATTATTTATTTAAGCCCTATTCGAAGCCTTCATGCCATATTTACCGCCGACGGTCCAGATGATGAATATATTAAGTTATATGTATATATATATTGGAAAACAGTTGGTTATCTAAGGAATGTCTACAAGTTTCACATGGAAAGTTCATAAATCAGTCACATACTGCCGCCTTTTCCTCCTCCTCCATAGCCCTTAGTAACAAATAAAATAAAATTCTTGAACATTCCTGGAAAAGAGCTGCCAACTATTTCAGTAGTGCAGCCCCAAACTAAGTCTCGAATGCATCCATACACAACATTCGATCCAACTAAATATTTTACTGGCTACGTGTCTAATTCAAACTGTTGTTTTTTTTCCGACGGCCACCCTTTGAAGACGGAGCTAAAGCAGAGGCGTGTGGGCGTGCTTAGGGGCGTTCATATGGGCGGGTCAGTTGACGCTATTGTTTTCATAAGTTGTTGCTGTTGTTATTGCTGCTGCTGCTGCAGTTGTTGTTTTGGCATGTTTATTGCACTGTCAACGGCAATGCATGAAAACTTTTAGTTAGCCAAGTTAGTAGCTGTTCCTCGAATGTTGGTGACAAACCCATCGCCCTCTCTGCCACAACACCACCTTCTCTCTTTCTCTCTCTCTCTCTCTCTCTCTCTCTCTCTGCGTGCAAGTTTACAATTTTTTCCTTTCTCTATTACTTTTTTTGTATTTCTTTGAACATCGACCGTAACTGTTAATGTGTTTGAAGTCAAATTGTTTTCAGTCACGTGAGCGGCAACAACTGTGATCACACAACAACCTTATTCATGATTAATCAGTTGCATTTAAATATATATTACGAGTATTGCCCCCTCCGTCAGGTCGGCAATGCAACTAGCACGGCTCCTTCTTGGCTCGGATCCTGGCAGCTCGACTAATTTGTGCGTTGACTTTTGTTTTTAGACAAGCTTCGCTGCACATTTGGGAACAACAGATGGGCTACCCCTGCCTCCCTTTCGACTCTACTCGTTGGCTCGTTCCTCATCGGCATTGAATATTTTAAATTTATGCAACTACAACTTCATTTATTTTATGGCGCTGGTCAACAAATCGGCTTACATTAATTATATTTAATAACCAAACGCGTAACAAACAGCTGGCCAAGTTGTTTCGTTTTGTTTTTTTTTTTTTTCATTTTCACTTTTAGCGTGTGTCGCTTTAACTGTGCCCCATAAATGTTTAATGGTCCAAACACTTAACGTGCGCCGTGAGTCAACAACACGGCCAGAGCTCGTAGGTCGAGCGATACCCAATTTCAGAGCTCATTTTAGACATCTCAATGATGTTCTAAAAAGCAAATAAAACACACGCACAAAAGTTACCAAGTTGCGAACATTATTTTTAGCAAATGAATTCAATTTCGTTCGTTGATAATATAAAAGTTAAAACTCAGTGTAAATTGAATAAAAGCAAAACTGGCCACAAAATTGATTCAAAACGATCTGAATTGAATGTAAAGAAATACCTTCCATTTTTTTTCCCTTCTTACATTTACAATAAAAAAAAAAAAAAAAAAAAAAAAAAAAAAACAATGTAAACTGTAACTTATTATGTTATTCATTGTTAACTTTCAAAATGTTCACCAATATGGACCAACCAACAGCCATCTCTCAAAAATACCCGACCAAAATCAGGAAACTGAATTCACCAAATAATATTTCATAGGATATACCACAAGACAACTGAGGAAGACAAAGATGAGAACAAAAGAAAGAAATTCTCCGACTTCAAATGTGCCCCAGCCATATCTCAAAAGTATATGATCCACACCCACACACATCCCGGCTGAATTCGCATTGGTCGGACATACAATAAAATTGCCAATTGGAAGAGATGAATTGGAGCATTCAATACAAGCAGTCTTTACCACGCTAAAGCTACCATACCACCATGATCACTACAACTCAAAATTCTTCCCACATCGTAAATAGTAGCAAAACCATTCAATCAATACCTTGATCAACCAGAGTTCCTGAATTAAATAACATTTCAAAAGAATACTACAGGAACCCATCGTGATCTAATCTGCTTTTAATTATGTTTAAGATACTACGGCACAATTCCCACTCTATTCAGACTATTTAATACTTTGATACTACCTACGATTAATAATATGATGTTAAATAATCATTAATACGCATTCAATAATCAATCGTTCCATATGCTCAACATTTCTATTTACTTATAATATTCAATGGAGCTTATCCAATAGCAATAAATAAACCTTCTAGCCGTTCCTTGATTGGTTTTGCGAGTACATTTTCTTACATTTTCATTTCAAACAAGAAAGAAAGCTCTAGTCGAGACTGCTCGACTACGAGATCCCCTGAAC